TTTGTTTCTCTTCCATATTTTAAGCATGTCTTCCATCTCAATCTTCTGCCTGAGATCCCATCTAGCTCTTTTCATCTTTTACTGGGATGAGGTGTTCATGCGCTGTTTGATTTGACAACCAGAATCACAGACTGCCCTCTTGATCAGGCCCACATTCTTCTTGAAAGGCCTGAGACTTAAGAAAAACGTGGCTCAAATTTGTAGAAAAAGCGGGAGCCCAGACAACCCTCTTTCTCTCTAGAGACAATAACCCATTTAGACAGAGACATATACAGCCATCTTCAAAAACATAGTCCCCTCTCCTACATTCCTCCTTAAGAGCCAGGGTAGGAAGGCAGGATAGGACCAGGCAAAGATGCTAACCCGTAGACTACCGGTTGCAGAGGTCTTAGGGTCCGAGTTGGTAACTAAACCTGGTTAGAGTTTCTTCTTAACCCTGCATACCTAATGGGATTTCCCTTCCCTTGTCCCCTACCTCCAGTTCCTTTACCCTCCTATAGTCACAGGTCCCAGTGAGCTGGTGGGCTGAGCTCTAGCATGACAGGCCTCAAACCTTCCCCATATCTCTGCTGGACTGAGGAAAGTACAGGAGGTAGGTTGGGTATGGACTATATACATTGGAATTCCAGTTAGGATAGTTGGCATCTGAGTCTCTGTGTGCAGCATTTTGAGATATGTTATTTCTTTTTCCTGCTCCTCCCTTGGTCCCCACACTCACTGTGTCTTCCTGAGCAAAATCTATGACTGAAGATTGCATTTGTCCTGAGGTTGAAAGTGGATAGGCATCTTTGCCAGTAATCATTGGGTCATGTTCAGGCCATGACAAAAGATGAGTGCTGTGACCCCCTCTCCCCATCCGCTATTACACATGACTTTTGAAAGGAGTATGGAGAGCTATGGAGAAAGCTGAAGCAGCCCTTGCAAAATACTCAAATGAATTTGTGATATAATCGGTATATTCCTTCTAACTATGCAGATAGCAATCTATCTACCTACTTTTGCTTATTACTTATTGCAAAGGAAGAACACACGCACATATGTTACTTTTCTGGGGGAGGGTTAAAAAAATAATACCAAGTGCTTTCTTCCTCCTCCTCTTCCTGTTTGAGTGGCGGAAGCTATGATGCTGGGGCCGTAATCTATATTTTGTCAAGGATATGAAATTCATTCTGAAGGAAAAGCTCGATCAATTTATTTTTTCTGCTTTCAATAACACAGCTGGATGATGCTTTGAGCCCATGCTAGACTGGGGCTCATCATTCATTCGCCAAGAACTGGCCTAAATGGTGCCTGTGGGATTAGGTCAATTTTAGTGGATCTACTTCGCCTCATTTGGTTACTAATTGGTTTCTTGTTTTATAAATCGAAATCTCATTTTCAGGAAATTACAAAACCCGTGCAGTCAGTCCATTGAGGTAATCCTTGGGTCAGGGGGTATTTAAATGGAAATGGCTCTACAATGCATCAAGTATACAGCAACAGGGAAACTTCTAGGTTTCTAATGAAATGTGAGCTAGTCCTTTAGATCCATAATAGATACATCCCCCTCTAATGCTACTTATGTAAATATGATAAACTAGACTTTAAGGGGAATGGGGAGGGGGTAGAAAAGCAAAATTTATCTGCTAAGGTTAATGTGGCATATCTTGGAAATCTTCCAAAATAGATTATGTTTTCCTTTGTCTTCCACCACTTTAGCTGGGGAAAATCCTTTTGCCTAAAAAACGATTTAGTTATCCCCTCCCTCCCAGAGCTACTCGTTCCCTTTGCAAACCCTTTATTCCTTCGGCCTCTCCAAATTACAAGGGAATCTTTAGATCTGGTTTCCACTGTAATCCTGCAGCAAAGGGAGCTGCTTTCCTTCTTGTTTTAAACAGACAATCAACGGATTTGCAGAATTTTCTGCGGTAGGTCAAGTGCAAAAAATCACAGCTTACCCCTCTAACTAAAAGGAATTGGACAGAGAAATGGATCCAGGGACCAACTGACTATATGATAAAGGAGCATATTAGGAGAGGAGTCTCCAACAGGGACTTAGAAGGCAGGAGGGATTTTGCTTTGTTTTGTGTACTTTCTTCTCCCCGTTTTTCTGGGGGTGGGAAGATGAGAAGGCTCTAGACCTTGCAGTTATGGAGGTACCCCATGAAGCACAAAGAATTAGGGTTAGGAAAAGTCATGCCAAGTAAAAAAGAGGACACATTACATTATAAAACATTAACTCAATCTCAGGGCAGAGATTTTTTTTTTTTACCAGAAACATAAAGTGGAGTGCAGTACTCCGTGAAAAAAAAAAGTTCATTAAAAAGAAAGAAAAGAAAAGGAGGACTGTATTAAACTGTAATGGAGATGAGCTATTTATTAACTTGCGATGGAAGTTTTACTTTCCCTCGTAGGAGCATACTAATTAGACCCGTAAACTTGGATTAATAATCAGCCCAGAGCCTAAACCAGGAGTACTGAACAAGTATTCAATATGTAGCCTACCGAATTTATGTCTTTCCCAATTGTTCAGGGAAACCTTCTTGGGCTGTTTTCTATACATCTCTTGCGAACATTTTTTGTTTTTAAAAAGAACCGTTAATGGTCCAGACATACTGGTTCTAGACTCTTTTGTGGAAGACTGTTCATTCTCCAGAGTTGTGGTGACCCTCTGTTCTAGTATCCCGGTTTGCGCATTCCTCACCGTGTTTTAGCCTGAGGTTTCAGTACCTGCTTTAGCAAAAGACATCAGATGGCGTGCCATTACGGGTGATTTTGTTGCTCAACGTGCAGGTACCTGGGTTATCTGGATCACTGTCTGTCAAGTCAGGCAAACACACAGTGAAGGCAGACAACCCTCCCACGAAGCCCCACAGTCAACACACTTTCCACTCTGCCTTCCCCCCCTCCGCCCCCACTTTCTGGTAATAAAAGGAAGGGAAAGGAAGGAAAAGGAGGGTTCAGAAAATGAGAAGAGAGGAAAAAAGAGAGATGATAGGGAAGTTGAGAAAGAAGAAGAGAGATGGAGGAAGGAGAGGGAGAGACAAAAGAATCTCTCTATGTGTAGAACTACAAATAAAAGTGTTTTGTGCATAAAAGCTCAGGAGAAAAATTGTAAAGAGGAAAGAGGGGCCATAGCTGAGGCAGGAAAACAGAAAGTCAAGGAGGAAGTTCGGGGAAGGGGTGGGATGGAAGAGATTTAGCTAGACCAGAGGGATGCAGTAGACTCAAGAAGAGTTACAGAAGAGGGAGGAAGGGAGTGAGAGGAGGGAGTTAGGCTGGGAGCATTAATGTTTGCATAGCTGTGGGGAAATCGTTAGGTTTATTTAGATGTGCAAACACTTAGGTAAATCGGGCCCAGGATGAAAGAGAACTAAACGCACTGCGTTGCCCAGATTTTGATCACTTGTTTATTTGTCTCTAGTTCGGAGGATAAGCGGGAAGTAGCACCTGGCCAGCAGTTTTTAAAGAGTCAGATTCCATGCCCTAATTTGTAGTACCTAGCCCCTGGTAAGACATCATAATGCGCGCGTTTGTCATTGTGTACTTCATGGTGATTTGCACTGTACTGCAATCAATCACCTTTTTTTTTGTCGTCACGTTAAGCCCTGTTTAATGGGGTAAGCATAAAAGGTTTTAACTGCGCAGTTTAAATTATTTCAGCAGCAACATTGTTAAAAGATATTACCCATAAATAGCTTAACTCCGTCTCGGCCAATTCCCCTCGGCTTTCTTCTTTCTTATCTCTCAGCAAACAAGAAAATAACAGACAACCCTGGTTATATATTATATATACACATATAATGTGATACATGTATATAATAGATATGTTACATATGTATATACACGTAAATCTGTATATATTGAGCAAAGCGATTTCTCATTCTGACATAAGCGGAGAATTTGGATGCAGAGTTTGAGAAATCTAAGCAGTAAGGAAATGGAATGCCGGCATTTCTAGCATTTGATATTTAGAAGTCTGGGAGGTGGGATGGCTCTGCAGTCTACCTAGGTCAGTGTTAATATTAACACATTATCTAGAGCCTCTTATTGCCCCCAGGAAACTAACTTCAGAAAAGTGCATGAGACGGGATGGGAATGGGGGAAAAGGGATGAAGGTGGGGGTGGGGAACGGTTGCCCGAAGCTTGCAAAACCTTCAACTGGTGACACAGAGCCTAAAAGCTGCCACAAAGCTGAAAGCAAACTGATTTTTAATAAGGGAGATTAATTTCGGAGGTTTAAGGGGAGGAGAATGACAGGAGAGTCATTATAGCCAATCAGAAAGTCCTATCGGAGGCTAAAATGACGAAGACCTCCTAGATTACTCTATGTGGATGCACAAGTTCCTCTCGTGCTATTAGTTTCCTTCTCTTCTTGTTAATGATGAAGATGAAAAATGTGAATGAGGAATAAAGTGGTTTTTTCTTGTAGACACACAAATGAAGTACGCAAAACGCATCGATAGCACACAGTATCAGGGGAATCGCTAAGCAGTCATAATCAGGTGCAAACCCCAAACGGACCATTTCCACCCTCTCTTACGGTCGAACACTGTTTCCAGGGAGGGAGATGCTAAAAGCTGGGCACAAAATAGTTTGTGTTAGTCTTGCTGTGGCTCGGTGCTCTAGGAGAAACCCGGCACTTTCTTCGGTGAAGGAAGCAAGTTAGGTGAGAAAGGGTAGTGTGAAAGGTCTGATTATCGGCATCCCTGGACTCTGGCAACCCGACTGGAGTTCACTTAGCCCTTGGAATTGAAAGAAACGCCAGTTCCACAGTCCATCGCTTTCTAGTGTTGCTGGGGAATGCTTATGGTTTATTATCACCAGCTATACCAACGTATGGCAGTCGTTGTGATTGTAGCACTAACAGTACTATTAATAGCTCTGGGCACAGTAATTAATGGTCTCCAGGTTGCTGACGCTGCTCCCCTAACAACGGGCAACTCTTCCCACGTGGAGGACCCGGGATCTTGTCAATTTCATTTCTACTGAAGAGTTTTCTCCGTGTCTTCCGTATGCAGGGCTCGGAGAAGCTTGGGGCCATTCGACTCGTACCAGTCCCTTGGATAACGTCGGTCGGGAGCTGGGGTCCCATCTCTTACAGGTAACTGGCCTTGAAATCAAAGCCCCTTTCCCGAAAAGGTTATTGACGACGATGGATTCTATTTGAAGCTTGATGTATTCCGGTGTATTTATTTAAAAACAAAACAAAAAACCGTTCACAGACTGAAGCAAAAAGGAGCCCAAGTCTGGATTTCTATCTTTTGACGCGCCATCAGCCTCTCTTGTTGTCTGTGTAGCTTTACTTTGAAAAACAAACAAACAAACCCAACAAAAACAAACATTTCTCTGGGTCTTCATTTTGCATTTTTGTAAAAGTCGCAGTTCAAAGAATACAGGTAGTGTTTTCTTAAAGATGAGGGGGCCAGGGTAGCAGGAGCAGGGTTTTGTTGCCTCCCACTCCACTAGAAAGTAAACTCTTAGAGTGCAGATACTTTTTAAGTTTTTTCTTTTTTCTTTTTTTTTTGTCACGATATCCCCAGCAAATAGTCTTGGAAATAGCTGGTGCTTTAAAATGTTTGTAGAATTGAATTAAATAAAATTTTCTTATCTCTCCAGCACCTTACCCACGCACACATCTGTGATTTGTGGACAGGCAACTTGATAGAACTTCTCAGTTGTACGTCCTTGAGCGGAGGTGCACTGTCTTATTTTCTTAGATCTCTTTTTATCGAGACAGATATAGAGGGAGGGAGAGAGACACAGAGACCACCGAGCTCAGTGGGGCTGGACAGATTTCGGTAGGCCTTTGAAAGGTACAGCAAAGCTGAATAAACGTAGTTCATGGAAACAGAGCTCTTTCTGCCTGCACGTGTTGGAAGCAATGCCAGCCATAGAATCTTGTCTATAGTGGTTTTTTTTTGAGGCCAAGAAATAGGTAAATGCAATCGCCTGTTAACGATTTCAAAATTTCTACATTTTGGTTACATTTGCATTCGGAATCAAATTTTCATCCGCTGTCACAGACCCCTTCAACTCTCCTTCTGTAGGACACTATGCCCCTCCTCCACCAGACCCCATCTCCTGTATCTAGCGTTGTAGAGACACGCACATGCGCAGGTGCACACCATACTATATTCAGGTAATGTGTATGACCAGTGTGTAGGTCCTATTATAGCATTGTTTGCAGTGCAGACCGTTTTAAATTGCCCGTTGCCCACTTAAGTCGCTGAGCAAATATTTAAAATAGTAAAACTCCCGTTGGCATTTTTAGGCTTGACACTTCTTCCCAGCTCCTTCATCCCTTTAATTGTCATTCAAGTCCACCATGAGCTTCTTGAGTGGGAGCCTTGAAAAGAAGTTTGCAGCTTGGAAACTGAGAGCTGATTTCTCTTGTTCTGGGCCAGATACCTTAACTCTCGTTAGAAATGATTTTGTCAGCTTTAAGAGACCATATTTATTTGTGGTTATATCATCAGGACACAATAAGCGATAAGAGCGTTTGGTAATACACATATCTCTGTGTGTGTATATATATATGTATATATGTGTGTGTGTGTGTGTGTGGTGTGTGTGTGTGTGTGTGTGTGTGTGTGTGTGTGTGTGTATGCATCTATCTATCTATGGTTTGTTTGGGGAGAATAGGATGGATCCAGGGTGTAAGAGCCAAGAAGGGCAAGTGCTATTATACGTGTGTGTGTACCAGCACTTCTTATCTCCTCTAAAACCTTGAAGCCAGCTCTTCATTCCCACCAAACCTTTTTCTGTTTCCTGGAACACAACTTACTCAATCCAGTTCATTCATTCCTGCTCTGTGGTCTTCACAGTTACTCCACTTGCATGTTTCTCTTGTGCGTTGGTTTTGTTCTCATTAGACCTTAGAATGCAAGGATCCCCACCTAAACTTATTTCTCCAGAATGCTCTGCCTTAGAGAAGAGCTTAATAAAAGTTGAATGACTTTGGTCACCTCCCCTCTACAGTGCCACAATTTCTATTGACCAGTCAACTTCTCTTGGCTTCTTCCCTCTACATATCCTTCTTTCTGCTGGGCCTCCTTTTCTCCTCTCCAGAGTGCTCTGACTCTCCAAACACTCCCCCCTATTCCGTCCTTAGTTCTACCTCAAGGATCTCTTACATACTTTCTGTCTACTTGCTTAGACCTTGGATGGTTTCATCTTTGTGGTGGCTCCAGATGGGAAGATCATGTACATTTCGGAGACTGCATCTGTCCACCTGGGTCTTTCTCAGGTAAGTGGGGTGGGTCCACAGACTCCCCAGTTCTTGATCCTTTCCCCTCCCGTGACAGTGTTGAGAGCATGAGAAATGGGAGTGGCTTTTAGGTTTTCATTCTCTTTAAGCCACTCCCCCTGTAAGGTTTTACCTTTCCTGGAAACTGGAAGTGTCCTATGGGCTGGGTGGAATTGTGTCTTTACATATATATTTACATGATTCCTGGGTTCTAAATGAAGTTTCCACAAGATATGAGATCAGTATTCAACATAGTGTAGTGGAAAGTATTTAAAATCAGGGAATATGGTCTTGAATTCTGGCTTTTCTCTTTATTACTCCTATAACTTCGGGCAAATAATTTATTGAAGATAAATGTTTTTTTCAGAACCTACTATGTAAGGGGCACTGGCAATACAAAGATTAAAAAAATCAACCTTTTGGGGGCCTCAGTTTCCACATCTGTATTAGGAAGGGGTTTGAATTAGGTGAACTTAAAGGACTTTTCAAACTCTAGGTCCCATTATTCCTTTCCATATCTTTCCTTTCCAAATTAAATGAATATTATTCCCATAGACCAGTTAGGTTTGGGGCTAGAGGGAAACTTTAATGAGTTGTATAGGAGGAAAGGCTGCCCTTTTAAGAATTCAGAGGCAAAGACCTCCAAAAGCATTCTATCCCCTTCCAGCCCAAACTTTTTTTTTTACTTTTCCCTAAGTCAATGCAGGTAACTCTGAAATCCTTATCTATAACAGGTAGAATTAACTGGGAACAGCATTTATGAATATATCCACCCAGCAGACCACGATGAGATGACTGCAGTGCTCACAGCCCACCAGCCCTACCACTCTCATTTTGTACAGGGTAAAGAACAGCCCAAAAGTCTTCCATTGTGTTTCTCTCTGTCCCCTTGCCTCTCTTCTTTTTGAATGAACCTTATAAACTCTTAAAAAATATACCTAATTCCCCTCTACTTGCCCCTTTTCACTCAAATCTCTTCCTTTTTCTCTTCTAGAGTATGAGATAGAGCGCTCCTTTTTCCTGAGGATGAAGTGTGTCTTAGCCAAGAGGAACGCTGGCCTCACTTGTGGGGGTTATAAGGTGTGTGTCTGGGGGAATCTGAAGCCCCAGTTGCTGTAGCTGCCAGGGATGGCTGCCCATATCATATTACCGTGGTAGGATATCCTGGACAAAGAGATTTCCAAGGACAGTTATGTATGTGTACAATATAGGCAGAGGACATGCAGGCTTAAAGATGATTTTTTAAAAAGCGAGAATACGTGTTCTTTGCACACTTGAAGCATTACTTTATTCTCCCTGGTAAAAGGGTACACCTGGAGAGTAAATGTGTAAGGATTTGGGGGAGGAGAGGAAGGGAAGATGAACGCCCAGTGTGGAAGCTCCTTCCACCAATGGAACTTAACTGGCTTAAGGCACAAAGGGGCTGAATGATTTGGTCAAGGTCGCTACAAAATTACTACTAAGTATAAACACACTTGTTTTGTTTAGAGAAACACACAATCTAAAGATTTGTTCATTATCTAGGTATTTAGAGTTTAACCTCATGTGAACTTTTTGCTAAGTTTCTTGGTTTGTAGTGCAGGAGTAAACATTTCAGCCGGAGAACTAAGCCTGCTCTTCTAGGGCCCCTGAAATATTCACTTTGCCCTCTGGAGTGCTTGAGCTGGGACCCTGATTTAGGCAGGAAGGGTGGAGATGGCAGAATGTCTAATTTTCTCTCTTCCTTTGCAGGTCATTCACTGTAGTGGTTACCTAAAGATCCGCCAGTATAGCCTGGATATGTCCCCTTTCGATGGCTGCTACCAGAATGTGGGCTTGGTAGCTGTGGGCCATTCACTGCCCCCCAGTGCTGTGACAGAGATCAAACTACACAGCAATATGTTCATGTTTCGTGCCAGCCTGGACATGAAGCTCATATTTTTAGATTCCAGGTAGGCCTGGGCTGAGCTCGTGCTGAAGCTGAAGCTGAAGCTGCATTTTGCAGCCTGTACCAATGCCTTAATAAGAATCTCTGTGTGTGTGTGTGTGTGGTGTGTGTGTGTGTGTGTGCGTGCGTGCGCGCGCGCGCACGGGCGCCAGCGCGTGTGTGTTGGGGAACCGGGCTGCCAGGAAGTCAGAGACTTGGGTTCTGGCCCTGGCTCTGTCACAGCTTTGTTGCACAGGTGTTAAATGGTAGGTCCTTGGTTACATAGCCTAATTGTTTTGGGACGGTGTCCTCATCTATGAAATAAACAGGTTGGATCTGCTAGCTCTACTAAGGTCCCTTTCTACTCTAACAGTTTGAGATTCCATTCTGTGAGTCCAATGCTTTACATTTAGAGGGGCTGACAGTTTACAAAGTACTTTACATCTGCTATCTCATTTGATCATTAAATAGGTCTGCAGGGTAGGGTAGGAAGGGTAAATAAAAATAAAAATCATTTTCATGTTACCAAGGAGGAAACTGAGGCTCAGATGTGAAGGGACTTGCTTACTGTCACTCGTCAGTAGGGGAAAGGCCATGGTAGAGACTAACACTCAAGTCTTCTTCCTCTCACCTGTCTATACAGTGCCGCCTACTACTCCTTCCTTGCCATTTCCCAACTACTGAATTCCCCTTCTTGTACTCCTCAGGGTGGCTGAACTAACCGGCTATGAGCCACAGGACCTGATTGAGAAGACCCTTTATCATCATGTCCACGGTTGTGACACCTTCCATTTGCGCTGCGCGCATCACCTGCGTAAGCATTTTCTCAGCTTCGTTTAACATTGCCTCCCTCCACCCCCTCCTCCCCACGTAAGCGCCTCCAGTTGTACCGGCCCCTTTGGTAACAATTCTGCCGCCTGATAATCCTGGGTCAGGGATGTGGGACTGCAGTGCTTTAGGCCCCCGAGACACGGTTTTGGCTGGAGGAAAATGGATCTTTATTGCAAGTATGGAACAGATGATCAAAGCCGAACGAGCCGGAGGAGCGTACCTTCCCTCCTTTGGTGCTCGAAATAAAGCCAGCGTAGCTCCTCCTAGCACTGGCTTGGCCATCCCGGGTTGTTCCCGGTTAATTGAGAAGCCCTTTTATTTAACAACAACAACAACAAGCAATAAACAATCTCTAAAGTCAATTTATAAATAGAAGTCAAGTTCTTGTAAGCAGTGCGGGGGTTCCATACTCCTTCCGCGATTTATTTACTTTTGCTGAAAAATCCCCAACAAAAGGAAAACCACAGCCGTTGATTATGAAAACATTTTTTGGATCTCTTTGTTATAAATACACAGTTCAGCTCAACTGGTGACTTCAAGTCTATGATAATGGGCACTTTTTAGAGCTTAATCTCCGAGCCTGTGAAAGGAGTAGGAGACGGACAAATAGGAGTCAGATTTTAGCTTGCAGGAAGAGGTCTACCACTAAGCCCCTTCGGTAGTTGAAAGTATGGATTTGGGGATGGGGAATCTTATGGTTGATGCCAAATATTCCATTTTCCTCCTACTGCAAACATAGAAGCAGTTGACCAAGTAAATAATAGCTTTAGCTCCCCTCAGAAAGGGAAAACGTGTCAATAGGATCGAATGAATTCGATACAAATTAACATTGCATAATCCTTTGGTTTTGGAAATTTCCTATCCTCTTCGTTTCCGTGGTTATTCGTATACTGTTCAGAATTCTTCCTAAATCGCCAGCCCCCAGTTCCTCTCTGATTATTTCAGTCACGACTTTTCGAGCCTGACCAACACCCCCCCGCTTCTGCATCTTTCTTCCTTCTGTAAGGAGAGCGCTTGGTAGCATCATCCAGCTTCTATCTGCAGCTGTTGCTGCTGTTGCAGGGCATCGGGGTTGAGAGGCGGGATTAAGGGTAGTTTGAAAACTGGCAAGTTTGCAGACTAGTCCTGGGGTGTTGGTACAGGATTTTCTCCGTTTCCCACTCTGCTTTTTCCCTCCTCTCTCATCTCAGTGCTGGTGAAAGGGCAGGTGACCACAAAATATTACCGGTTCCTGGCAAAGCACGGGGGCTGGGTGTGGGTACAGAGCTACGCCACCATCGTGCACAACAGCCGCTCCTCACGGCCCCATTGCATCGTCAGCGTCAACTATGTCCTCACGTAAGTTCAATGATAAATGTACCGCTGGCACGGGAGGCTGCTTAGAGGGGAGGATGCCCAGTGACCCTTTGGAATGCCCTTTCTGCTGCAACCTCACTTAGAATAATAACAATAGCAGACAGCTAACCTCTAGCGGTTTATCATATGATCTCCCCTTCCCCCACCCTTTCCTGTCCCATCTTATACCCTCCTTTTTTTGCAACTGGAGTGCTTAAATTAGAAAGAGAAAAGATGGAAAGAGGGCACTGAAAAAGGCAGGCTCTAGGCACTCTATCCAATTTGGACCTTTACTATAGGCCAGTTTTGGGAGGAAACAGCTCCACCCACTACTTTCATCTTTCTGAAAAAGCTCCCTTTATTTTTATTTCCCAGAGGAAGATTTAGGGGTTTTCCATCCTCAGTACATATTTTGTTTTCTATTTATGTTAAGCCTACCCTGCATTAAATAAAACTTAATGGGGGAGGGAGGGAGAAAGGGAGGGGAAAGAAGAGAGAGAGAGGGGGGAGAGAGAGAGAGAGAGAGAGAGAGAGAGAGAGAGAGAGAGAGAGAGAGAGAGAGAGAGAGTGAGTTCTCCTTAAGGAGCCATTTATGGTTAACAAACAGGACATCTGTTTCACTTTTTCAAATCTGGGGTTTGAAGTTCTTAATTTTAACCAGAGTCTCCAATCAAAGCTGAGAGTTCTGAGAGAGTGATTCTTACACTGAATCACAAAGAAGGTTTAAGTGACCAAAAGGGTCTGAATTTAACCCACAGAAAGAAAGGAGACTCAAGTTAATGCTGGAAATCTTGGCTAACACTCAGCTCTTAACTCTTCCCTTTGTACATCTGGATTGCAAGGGTATGAGATCTGTGTGTATGGGATGCTACCTGCTGGTACTTCAGGACCTGGGGCCAGTAGGGCCAGGTCTAATCTACAGCAGGCTGGCTGAAGTTGCAATATTTGATTCATATTTTTCCCCCTGGAAATAATCATAGTTTCTGGTTGCCAGTATGCCAATGCATGCTAGGTCACATGGCCTGTTGTGTTCTTGGAGAAGAAGCACGTACTGTATGTTTGTGAGGACTGGGCTGCCTGCTTCATTTTTAAGCTTTAGTGGAAAGTCCTTTTTTTTTTTTGGTTTACCTTATTTTCTTAGAGGAAGAGGAGATGAAATGGGGAAGTAGAAATGATTCTGATTTTAGGGTATGGCAATAATTATCTATCATGCAAATGTTGACAGAACAGAGGCTTAGTAGAAATGGATTTTTCCACTGGAAGGAAGTGTTCTGTGGATTCCAATTATATGAATAAGAATAAATTCATTTTATGTTATTTTAAATTATAAAAATAATTTTTAAATGTAGCAATTGGCAATATTGTACCTGGTAATAGCACTTAATGCTATGCCTTGTTTGATAAAAGAATATAACTCAATGGACATGGGAAATGAATTTGGTTGAGATGAGGGGTCAGTGTCCAGGAAGGCTGATGGGTGATTGTGAATCTCCTTTAGCTTTCTCCTATTCTAGGAAGCAGGGTAAATGATGCTGTGATGGTAAGATTACTGTAGGTTTTAACAAAGACAAGAACACATCAGCAATGTTTTGGTTACTGTGCACCCCTACAAAATATTTTAATTTATGTTTGCTATTTTTGATATTATTAAAATAAACATGAGGGAAAATGGCAAAGTGCATTTCATATAATAAGCCACTTTTGGGAAGCAAAAGTATTAAAGGATGAAAAATGATGTCTGCTTACCATGAAAAGGAAGCTTACATAACTTGAAGAAGGCACTTTGTATGTCTGAGACATCACCAGTATTATATATATCCTGTTACCCTGTGGGTGCCTGTGGTTAGTAATCATTTTTTATCAAACAGCAGGCTACATAGTCACATAGACCCATATAAATGACCAGAATGCCAGTTAGATCTCCCAATGGGTAAACTTAATTTACGTTTAGAGTCATTTTGAAAAATTTTGTTTTGTTTTCAGTGAATGCATACTTTCTTTTTCTGTTGGCTCTGTCTTTTTTCACTTTTAATGCTTCTTCACTGCCATAGAAATAGGGTAGAAACTGTACATTAAATAAAAGAGGCTTAATGACTACAGAGAAATGATTTATTGAAGGAAAATAGTATGTCACATTTTTTTTCCTGAATGTTTTATCCCTCCCAAATGAAAAGACACAGAAACACACAGAAGCCTGTGTAAGTCTTACATATAAAAGATGAATAGTTGAAATTGATTGCACCATTATGGGTTTATAACGCCCATTTCTTTGTACAGAAATCCTCAGGACAGTTTTCATAACCACTAATGGGGAAACCACAGTAGATAAAATGTCATCAGGCAGCTCTGTGTGTGCTGACGGGATTTTCATAATGAACAGGTTGCAGTTTGTTTGATGTGTACATCACACATCTGGTTGGAAGTTACTAATTTACATTGTCTTAGCAAATTAAATAGATGACTATTGATTCTCTATGGTAGCAGCAGACTAGAACTTACATTTGTTTTCTGTGCTGATTCTTTATGAAGCACTAGAATGATAAGTGAGTTCTTTCCAAACACACCACCTCCAACAATACATTTAAAACCACAATCCTCCAAATAATTTGACATGCCATATGTATCCCAAATTTAAGCATTTGAGAGCATATATTTTTAGAGCATTGCTATGAAACTGAAGGATGTGTAATTTAAGTAGGCATTGGCTAAATGAAGATGTCTCTATGGTGAAGCCTATGAGCCCTAGTACATCAGAAAACTGTGAAAAAGCTCAGTTTTTCTAAGTTTTCAGATCAGCTGCCATTTTCCTTTTCAGCTCATTACCCCCTTCCCCCAATTAACATGTGCCTGGAAAATCTGTTTTAGTGTGTTTAACAACTTCACCATAAATTGATCTATTTAAGACTATTGGCTTATTTAAATTAATTACCTCATCACTGTGGATAGGAAAACTATCATTTCAGAGGCAGATGGCAAATGTTCTGGTGCTGTTATTGGTCCTTGTATGGCTTCTGGGTGATTTGGAAAGGCTGAAAACTAGAGTACAAAGACACTGTGAATTAAAATCTCCTACTAGTGTGTCTGAGTCCCTGAGGTTCCATGACGTTTGACTACCTCTTCATTCCTTGTTCATGTTTTTCTGCAGCATGCCTATCATAATAGCTGTATGGGGCAGCATTTCTAAGTTGTTTTGAGATGTTGTAAGCAGTGGTAAATGACTGCTTTGTGATACTTTTCAGAGAGGCCTTTGAATGGGTTGTAGCCATTAATCAATGAACTTTGGAAATACCATGAGTCAGGATGAAGAGTAGGAAGAAAACTTTTTGGAAGAAAGTCCATTTTTTAAAAGCGTTAAAGTGGTTTTCTTGAATTCATATTTTGAACTCATTCATTCATTTGAATTCATTCATTTTCTTAAATTCCTTTCATTGAGTCTGTTTAATTAGCAAGATTAATTATTCATACTCATGTCTGTTAGCTTCCTTTCACTCAGATATGAAATGTTTGGTCTTGAAATATATTGATAAAGGAAAAATGTGGAACACTTAATAAACCCTAAAATATGTTTTTGTAAAAAGAGAATAGAAGTAAAGGCCTTGATGTAATTATTATTTTTATACATTCAGATTGTTGTTTCCCCACTCAGAAATGATAATACTTTTTGTGGGTAAGGTTGATCTTTGTTTCTCTAGTAAGCCCAAAAAGATGATGTGAAGGGCTCCTATTTTAAATATGTATGTATGTTTGTATACATATGTATGTATGTATACATATACACACATATGCACATATATATACTTGGAACAGTGTTTAATTTGAAACAGTACAGCATTTAATTTGTTAGAAATTCACTTTGCACAAATACGGATGCTTATGAAAATATACACGTAAGCATTTACTAATGTTTGTCACCTACACTTACCTACTAATGTTTGTCTAGCACTCAAGTAGGCATGGACTCTGAGTCAGAACTATCCTTAGAAGTCTCAGTGCAGGATATTTTTGCAAAAATGCTTGCATTTTAAATTAAAATTCTAGTGAGAATTGTTGAGAAAGCATTAATATTAAGAGTAGAAATTTTAAAAAAGACATTTGATTTAGAGATTGATTTAGTAATTTCTGTCTCAGACATAGATTTAAATTTCTAAAACCTATTGGTACAATAAAAGATGTAACATTGTTTCAGGGACAAATGCTATTCAGTTCATTTCAGTGATTATCTAAGCACAGGACAGAGAAGTAGGTATACCTCAAAAACATTTTTTACTTTAATTTTTTTATTTCATTGTAATTAAAAGCAAAACAAATCCAGACAATTTGTATTGATGCAGGGAACGTGGTTTTTGTTCAACATCTCTGTGAATTTATTTTTTTTTAAAAAAGAGGCCAAGTAGGAAAGGAAAGAGAATCTCTCAAAACACAGATACTGGAATTCTTTTTGTTTGCATCAGACCACTGTAGCCCTCATGATAAAAACAAATGCATTTCATTGCTAACTTACTTTTCAACTAAAACTTTAACCTCTCTTACGCCTGAACTGCACGCAATATGGCACCAAAATGGTTGATTTTTTTTGACATTTAAGTAGCGCAGACTTTTGGTATGCATTTGATTGAGACTGTTTTCATGTGCATAATTTCCGTTTTGTTATGAGGTAGTTTTAGCAAAACATTTTTAAAATGGAGTTAGCCAGTAAAATATTAATTCTTAATACTTAGTTTATTTTCAGTGTACATAAAATCTTTCACTTAAGAGATTATATCAAATGAAGCTTCTTTTGGACTCTCAGAGCTCTGTAAATATGAAAATAATTTACCTCTCCCTCCCAACTCTCCAACGTGGGGAATAATTGTTGTATAGCAATAATTTTTTAACACTAAAAATACTGATTATAGCAGTAATGTGTACTCATAAATTGGATTGTCTTTAATTCTACATAATTTCTATTATGATAATATTGCATATAAAAGTCCAAGTTGTCCTCTTCAAATAATCTTGGTCTA